ATAAATATCACATATTTTATTTCATCCAATTTCATGCTAATAGTCCAGTTTAATATACCCATAGCGGTTAAGGGTATCATATAGTCGGCCCCGTCCGACTTTACTACTTTCCTTACTGGTTTTGTGCATATGTTTGTAACATGCAAAAATAATCGAGATAGACCCATGGCTCCTTTTTGAGAATATGCATAGAATCACTTTTTGAGTCGATTTAAGCTCGAAATTTGGCACAGCGTAGCAAATTAGGTCTAGAATGATGTGTGTAAAGTTGCCTGAAAATCGGTTCAGATTTATATATAGCTCCCACATATACTTTCGTCAGATTTAATGTAAATGGTGCACCAAAGTCCCTATATATCTTTCGATTTGCTCGAAATTTGGCACAGCGTAGCAAATTAGGTCTAGAATGATGTGTGTTAAGTTTCCTGAAATCGGTTCAGATTTAGATATAGCTTCTATATCTGACCAAATGAACAATTTAGTATCGGTTGCAGAATGACGTGTTTATGGTTCCAATTTCATTTTACTGGTCCTTTAAAAATGCGACTTCTGTTAGGATTCATCTGTTGAATATACTCAAAGTGGTGAAGGGTATCATATAGTCGGCCCCGTCCGACTTTACTACTTTCCTTACTGGTTTTTTATATATGTATGTGTGTGCGTGCGTGTTATTGTATTTTTAATATAGGGGGAAAATTGTTATCTAATGACTTCATTAGAAAGATTGTGTGAAGATATAATTATTTGTAATTTCACTTAAACCGGATTCTATTGATGACATTGTACGTTAGTAAAATAAAAAGCATCAGTGGATAAAGAAACACAATTGTTGGTGACCGACAATAAAATCATTATTGTTAGTTTGATATACGTGGTGTATATATATATTGTATGTTGTGAATATAGCATTTGATCAAAAAGTTTTTAGAATTTGTCCTAGATTGCATGATGAATTAGCATAGTGATTGGCATATGACGAATTGAAACGATCTAGCTATTAAAGTTCAGATTGCGACCAATGATGATACCTATTGTTTTTGTGGATTAAATGGACCCACAAGTTACAATTATATTCCGATATTTGAAGTTTATTGCAAGAATGTGATTGAGTATGGAAATAGACTTTAATTATAAATTATAGGTCAGAGTTTATATATCGATGCGCTAATGTTAAACTCATGATAGATCTCATAATATCTAAGATAAAGCTATGAAAAAGGGGTTTCCAATTCCAAATCATAATTCGAAGATTATCAAAATTCTTGAAAAGGGGGAATATTGCCCCGCCTTTGTAGGTTACCTCCCGACGTAAACGCCGATACACGTGTTTTCTTTTTTAAGCCCCCCTTTTATAATCTGTTGGAATTTCCCGGTAATTAAAAAAATAAATAAATAAAATTTGTCGCACAATGTTATTATAAAACCAGTGAGCAGAGCAGTATAGTCGGACGGGGCCGACCATACGATACCCTACACAACTACTACGGAACTCAAATTTTCTGCGGATGTTTATTCCCAGACTGGGCAAAATTTCGTGATAAACAGTACAGCTATTGTCCAGATTCCCTTCACCGTGGGTTGTGTTGTGATGTTCGGCTTTCATTTGAGGTCTATAGATCGACTCGAAAATAACACAAAAAATGAAGTTTTCGGTCCACTTCATTCCAAAATTATTATCTGAACATCACCGAAAATTATAGGCGTTGTCCTTGACCATAATTTGAACCACATGTAACATTTCAAAGCGATCAGCGCTATAGTTCCGCTCTCCAGAGTGATAATGGGTTACTAAATAATATACGAATACGGAGATACCTGTAAATATTTAGGTGTAACTCCCACATCCGAGCACATACAACAATATAATTGGTCTTAATTTAAAGGTCAACCACTCCTCTTGGATATAATATCAACTTCTCGGGTATATGTCCTTCGGGGGTAAATATATACGTCATAGAATACAAATTTTGTCATTTTTCACACAAAAGTCAGGGTCCATTTGACCCGCTAAATATTGACCGACCTCTCTCCAAACAGGCATGCTTATTCTTTGGCCCGGTCCGCTTCTCCATGCAAAATTTCACGATGTTCGGACCATTATTGCGGCCTCTGGAGCGACCAGAAAAACCGACAAAAATTTAGTATTTGGTCCATTTCATCCCCTAAATATTAACCGATCTTTCCCAAAAATAATAGGGGTCTTCATTGGCCAGAACCCATCCAACATGCAAAATTTCGTGAAGATTGGTCCATAACTGTGGCCTGTATCGTGTTTACAAATTATAATGGACAGACGGACGGACGGACGGACACACATGTCTAGATCGACTCAGCTAGTCGAGATATGACGATCGGTATACTTAAAGGTGGGTCTAGGACCAATATTTCGCGGCGTTACAAACTTTTGGGGCTGCACAAAGCTATAATACCCTGACAACATAGTTGTGTAGGGTATAAATACTCCCGAATTTCGGAGTTAGTATTCTAAAGTATATTTGGTCGCATTGAGACAACGAGTTGGTCGATTATGCCAAGAAAGTCTCTGGCGTTCAAGTTTTCGCAGCAAACCTCAGTTTAGGTATTCTGAAGATTTTAGCCGCATTTTCCAATAGAAGTGGGTGTAATTTGGCATTTGTATTTCCGTCGTAGTTTTAAACAATGCCGTGAGCTGTCACGATTCCACACCAAAGTTTTTGGGATTTCTTCGAAGTTCAATCAGAACAGACGACAAATTACCAGATCTGGGGAAAATAAAGTCGCTCATATGCTTTGAAGTGATTATTCCAAGAACACAATTCTTTGGGTTTGACTCGTCTTCAGATACCAACATAGCCTGTTTCTATTTTTTTATTTATTTTTTTATATAATTTCTATTGCACCAATTGACAAGGACCTTTTTCAGTGGATATTAAATGTCGCGGGATTCAACGAGAACAATTTTTTACGGTGTTAACGTATACTTTTACCCCTCTTGGGATTTTCTCAAAGCATCGCTATTTTACTCGATATGTTCTCGTATTGGTTTCGTTACTCATGTCCCAGCTATATCCTTAGTTAATGAGGGTACATACCCCTTGATACGGCAAAAAATGTTCAGACAAAACTCTAATCAATTTACAAATGTCCGTCCGTCTATCTGACCTGCTGATGTGCTCGATAACGCCCAAAGGAAATAACCGATTTTATCCAAACTGTACATCGTAATATTTCAACCAAACGTAGGTCTAGTTCGAAGATGGGGAATATCGGTCCAATCCTTCTGGTACTTCTCCCACAAAATGGTGAACATTTTGCTGAAATTAATTTTGTAATATCATGCGAACGGACTGTCCTATTTTAACCAAACATTATACAATCTTTTATTATTACGTGGTCTATAACAAGTCCGAAGACGGACCCATTGGTCCACTCTTTCTGGTAATTCCCCCACAAATGGTGCAAACATAGGCAAATAAAACATGACCGATTTTAACCAAACTTTGCACAAACTATCATCTTTACCAAGCCTAAATCAAGTCCGAAGACGGGACTCGTTGGTCCACTTCTTCCGGTACCACCCCCACAAATGGTCCAAATGTCCAATATTTATAAATCCAACACCAGACAAATAAAACATTTGCACCAAATTTTGCACAACTTATTTTTTACCTAGATCAAGTCCGAATATGGAACCCAATGGTCCACACCTTGTGGTACCTCTACCTCAAATGAAAAAATCTTTCAATATTTATAAATCCAATATCAGGCGGGTGGAATTAACCAAGCCTAGAGAAAGTCCGAAGGTGGGACACGACGATATTTTCCTTCTGGTACCTCCCCCACATATGGTGACATACATATGTATATGAAGAACATGGTCAAAATATGCCCATGTTTTGGTACATTCCTCAGTATTTTGGCATTCTGCCTGTAATTTGGCACTCTAGGAAAATTATCTATATTGGTCTATGTTATAATATAGCCCCTACATAAAATTGGGCTGACCATTTTCTGTGATATTTGTTTGGGGAAAAAGAAATACATTATTTTTATATGAGCTATAGGACTATATATAACATGCTTCGGAATGTCCGATTTAGCCAAATATGCATTGTTTCGTTATATGATTTGTTGCCATTTTAATGGTAACTTCATAATGCCTCTCTCATAGAATTCTTGCTATCTATTTGCAAAAAAAAACTCTAGTAGTCTATTTTCACAATCCTCCCTGGATACCAATTTTTTTATCATTAAAGAAATTTTACAAAGCAAGCTCCCGAAGTTTCTGGCGAGTCACAGTAGATGTGTGTGGCCTAGCGTTGTCCTGGATTAACACGACATCTCTTCTGTTGGCAAATTCTGTCTGTTTGTGGTCAATTGCTATCTTCAAACGGTCCAGTTGTTGACAGTAGAGATCTGAATTTAGCGTTTGGACATATGAAAGCAACTCATAATAATAATAATAATAAATCCGGTCAAGTTCGATCATTTCTCCGACTTTATCGACATATTCTGCCGGATTCCGGATTCCTGCCTTTTTATGAAGTATTTATTGCCCCAAAAGATAATTGGAATAAAAGGTTCGGTCTGATCGAACTTAAAAACGTTTTTACTTCTTTTTTTCTAATCCGACCGATCACTAACTTAAAGCAAAAAAAAAAAAATATTTATATTCTCCAATTAACTATACTTCGTTTAGAAAATTTCATGTTCAAATATTTCCTATGTTACTAAAAACACATATTCTAAAACATTCTAAAAAAATCATAAATATAATCAAATTTACAATTCCCTTTCGTCATAATATATCCACTTTTTGCAATAAACTTTAATGAAGACCGACATCATTAAAATATTTGCAAAGGTAATCCTATGGGAGACAAGCAACATAAAAATATTCCACCTCTCACATACATACGCACACAATCACACACACACATGTTGCCAACAACAACATCCAGCAATCATAAATTCACAAAGTAAAAAAAATACAACAAACAAAAAACTGTCGAACAACTTACGTGAATATAGGTAATGGACTGCCTTGAATGTTACACGGCATGTGAACATCATTGCCCCGCTCCACATGAATGTCCATAACGGGTTTTTGGGTTGTACGTGGTGCTAAGTTTTTGCTAAGCTCTGAAAAAAAGTAGGAAGAGAGAAAAAACCAAATGTTGGTTATATTGCAGTTGCCACATATGTACGTAACTACTATATATATTCTCATAGATGTCTATATCTGTCTGTATATGTGCTAGATGAGTGGGGGTGTATGTGTTTGTGTAATACTAACCTTTGACCTGTAACTTAACAGCCTCACTTCGTTGTCTATCGCCATTCAGTGTATTGGTAACCAGACACGAATATTTCACCAAACTATCTTCGGTGCGCACAGTTCGAATATATAAATCTCCTGATGCTGATAGGACAACATAGCGGCCAGCTGGAAAATACAAAAAAAAAGATATCCTGTATTAAATAGACGTACATGATGTTATGTATCAAAATTTAAGAATTTTGCAATCCTTCTTGATGTCGTCTGTTATGTTAGAAAAAAAATCAATACAAAAAATATTTTATGTGTTTGCTTTAAAAGGAAATCTTTACGACTTCCTTTGGGGATTGGGAATTTGACGTGAAATAAAGAAACAAAATCCAAATATAAAAAAGAAAACATGTAAAAGTATATCCACTTACAAATAACAAATATGAAAATGGTATTTTGTATAAAAGTTAAAGGAGGAATAGAGAATATATTAGACAGAGTAGAGTTTGAAATTGAAATCAGTGTAAAATGATATGGTCCAATCGGGGATATTCTAAAACATGGACCTCTATGAAACATTGTTGAGAAACGAGGTCTATTATTGTCGAGTTTCGAGGTATAGCATTTTTTCCAAAGGCTACTATTGGGGTTTGATTTTTATACCCTTAGCCGTTAGGCTAATGAGAGTATATACACTTCGATACGGTGAAAATGTGCCTCATGGAAATATTGGTTTTAGACCCATGATTCTTTGGACCAAATCCGTTTCAAAAAATTTGGAGTCGATTTAGACATGTCCGTGCGTTGTCGTCCGTCTGCCTGGCTGGTGCGCACGATAACTCTCGAAGGCAGCAACCGATTACATTCAAACTTTGGACATCTTAATATTTCGTTCAAACTAAGTTTAAGTTCGAAGATGGGGAATATCGGTCCACTCCTTCTGATACCTCTCCAACAAAATGGTCCAAATTGTGCTGAAAATTAATTTTATAATAACATGCAAACGGACTATCCGATTTTAACGAAATTTTGTACAGCCTATTATCTTTACCAAGCCTAGATCAAGTTTGAAGATGGGACCCATTGGTCTACTCTTTTTGGTACCTCCCCCACAGAGGGTCGAAATTTTAGTCCGTTTTGAACCAAGCTTTAAACAACATTAACCTTTACCAAGCCTAGATCAATTTTGAAGATGGGACCCATTGGTCCGGTGCCACCTCCACAAAATGGTCAAAATTGTGCTAAAAATTTATTTTATAATAACATGCAAAGGGACTATCCCATGCTAATATAACCTTGTACAAACGATTATTTTTAACAAGCCTAGATCAAGTAGGAAGTTGGGATCCATTGGTCAACTCCTTCTAGTACCTCCCCCATAAATGGTCAAAATTTTCAATATTTGTAAATCCAATACCAGGTGAATGGAACGTCCGAAGTGAACCAGACTTTGCACAACCCTTACGAAGTACAGATTAAGTCCAAAGATGGGACCCACCCACAAATGGTCAAAATATTCAATATTAGTAAATCCAATATCAGGCGAATGGATTGTCGGATTTGAACCAAACCTTGAAGATGGGACCCATGGGCCGCTCCTTCTGGTACCTGCCCCACAAATGGTCAACATGGAAGGTCCGAAGTGAATCAAACTTTGCACAACCCATTAGCCTTACGAAGTACAGATTAAGTCCGAAGATGGGACCCACCCCACAAATGGTCAACATTTTCAATATTTGTAAATCCAATATCAGGCGAATGGAATGTCCGATTTGAACCAAACCTTGGACCACCTTTTATATTTACCAACCCTAGATCAGGTCCGAAGATGGGAACCATTGGCCACTCCTTCTGGTACGTGCCCCACAAATGGTGAAAATTGTCAACATTAGTAATTCCAATATCAGGAGAATGGAAGTTTCGATGTGAACTAAACTTTGCACAACCCATTATCTTTACGAAGTTAGGTGAAGTCCAAAGATGGGACCCAGTAGTCCTCTCCTTCCGGTACCTCCCACACAAATGGTCAATATTTTATAAAATTTAATCAGAAACCTTTTGATAAAAACATATTTCTTATATAAAGCTAATAATAAAATCTGTGTCTAATTCCAAAGACCTCCGCAAACAATAGGCTGGGGGTATATATCTGTCGGCAACACCGACTGACACTTTTTTACTTGTTTAAATATTTTTTTTCAAAGGATACAATATACGTTTTTTAATAATTTTCTTTGGATTTTTTAAATACATTTTTCCAAGGGCTAGGTGTGGGTTTTTTAACTAAATTTGTCCAAGTCTACTATAGGCGTGGCTTTTTTAAATAAATTTTTCCAAGGGCTACTATAAGCGTGGATTTTTTTATTTTTCAAAGTCGTGAATTTGGCGTGAATTTTCAAAATAATTTTTTCCAAGGGCTACTGTGGGCGTGGATTTTCAAAATAATTTTTTCCAAGGGCTACAATAGGCGTGGATTTTCAAAATAATTTTTTCTAAGGGCTACTATAGGCGTGGATTTTTAAAATAATTTTTTCCGAGGGCTACTATAGGCGTGGATTTTCAAAATAATTTTTTCCAAGGGCTACTATAGTCGTGGATTTTCAAAATAATTTTTTCCAATGGCGTGGATTTTCAAAATAATTTTTTGCAAGGGCGTGGATTTTCAAAATAATTTTTTCCAAGGGCGTGGATTTTCAAAATAATTTTTTCCAAGGGGGTGGATTTCTACTATATATATATATATATATATATATATCTTTTATAACACTGTGCGACACGAAAATTTTTCAGGGGTTCTAATGTACCAATTCTGTTTAGTTGAAGTCCCTGGACCACGAAAATACCTTTGGGTTTTCTGGGTCACTTCGAAAATTAATTTTATAACGGTAAATATAGAGAAAAACGCGGTTTCATGGATTTTCCATTTGAAACTTAAATAACTTATTTACTTTATAACGGATTTATACTGTTCTTTTTTTCTTTCGAAGAGTACAATTTTTCCTTTCAAACAAGATATATATTTGGTAAATCGGTTGAGGATTGGCTGAGTTACAGCGGTTGAAATGTGAAAAAATACGCATAAAGTGACAAAATTTATTTTTCTTCGGACTGTACGATGAAATTATGATATCAAGCCATATAAGTTTTATTATATTACGGGGAAGAAAATTAAATTAGCTTTCGAAAATGATAAAAATCAAAAAAATCGGTTAAAAAATGAATGACTTATACACATTTTTGTATTGATTCTATGCATATTCTCTAAAGGAAATATGGGTCTATCTCGTTTCCCTTTGCCTGTTGCAAACATAACGGTTTGTAACAGGAAACGATACAGACCCATATTTCCTTTAGAGAATATGCATAGAATCAATACAAAAATGTGTATAAGTCATTCATTTTTTAACCGATTTTTTTGATTTTTAACATTTTCGAAAGCTAATTTAATTTTCTTCCCCGTAATATAATAAAACTTATATGACTTGATATCATAATTTCATCGTACAGTCCGAAGAAAAATAAATTTTGTCATTTTATGCGTATTTTTCCACATTTCAACCGCTGTAACTCAGCCAATCCTCAACCGATTTACCAAATATATATCTTGTTTGAAAGGAAAAATTGTACTCTTCGAAAGAAAAAAAGAATAGTATAAATCCGTTATAAAGTAAATAAGTTATTTAAGTTTCAAATGGAAAATCCATGAAACTACGTTTTTCTCCATATTTACCGTTATAAAATTAATTTTCGAAGTGACCCAGAAAAACCAAAGGTATTTTCGTGATCCAGGGACTCCAACTAAACTGAATTGGTACAATAGAACCCCTGAAAAAAAATTTTTTGTTATTTTGTAGCACAGTGTAATTCACAAAAAATCTAACATAGAGTACAAAATTTAAATATTCAACTACGAATCGTTCTAATATTTTACATCAGCATACACATACGTGAACGTATGGCATATATCTCCCTCGGGAGAGAGATGGCAGCGTTAAAGTAAATGTATGGCAAAGTAACAACAAAACACTGGACACAACATGAAAATTCCCACACGATGACATGGAAACATTTTCCAATAAATGTCAACCAATTCGTAACATAGCCCAATGGGAGGTTGGGCGAGTGGGCTAGTTGGACAACGCCAAGTGCTGTGGCAGCATACGTTTTACGTTCAATATTCAACAAAAGTACAATGACAGACATACTACAACATTACATTACACTACACAATACGCCACACAACAGACATATATATGTAAGTACATACATTCCGAACAAACACTTGGACATATGTCCACGTACGAGCAGACAGAACAAATATTTCAAACCATTTTGAGCAGACTTGTATGGGGCGAGGATGTGTAGCTTTGGAAATGGGAGGATGTTTTTTTGTAAATTTATATATGGCATTGAAAAAACTACACCAAGTTTTGTTAAAAAGGATTTTTATGAAATATACCTGTTTTACATAATACAAAATGGAATGTGCTTTGTTTTAGAGAGCAAGTGTTATCAAGTAATGTTGGGCAAAATGCGTAAACCTCAAATTTTTGAAATAGTTGCTGGCGAATCACAATTCACGTTGCAGCTTCAGTAAGCTAGTTTAAATGATGACGTCTTAAATATTACTCTCAGGAAACTTATTTTGCGGATTTTTAAATATTTAAACCACACCAAAAAATTATTTAAAAATCAGTAAGGAAAGTAGTAAAGTCAGACGGGGACCACTATATGATACCCTTCACCACTTTAGGTATATTCAACAGATGAATCCCAGCAGACGTCGTGTTTTTGAAGGACCATTAATATAAAATTGGGTCCATAAACATGTCATTCTGCAACACATACTAAATTTTTCATTTGGTCAGATATAGAGTTGCTTCCTACACTAGGACAAAATTATGTAAATCAATTTAAAGCAAATATAAATCGGCCACCCGTTGATTATTGGGATAAATATCTGATAAACATGAGGAGTTTGGTGCACCATTTACTTAAAATCGGACGAAACTATATATGGGAGCTATATCTAAATCTGAACCGATTCCTACAAAACTTGGTAAAAGTTAGACAATACAAATTTCAGTACGTTGTGTAAATTTTTGTAGCATACGGACTAATTTTGGGTCTTTGGTGTACCTTTTACTTAAAATTGGACGAAACTACATATAGGAGAT